AGGGGGTGGGAGCAAAGGGGGCAACTGCCCAGGGACCGGGACAAATGAAACCTGGTTATGCCGTTAAGCCCGCAAAGCATATTGAGGCTATATCTTCATTTAATGATAAAAACCATAGTTCTTGGCTTTTCTTTGCGTATAGACGCTTGATACATTAAGAACGACTGAAATAATAATTTGTGTAATAATTAACATGTATTTGTTACTTTATAAATTTAATAGATAATTGTTGTTACTTTATTAACGTTTTTACGCTTATACTGTGAGGTAAAAACGGCTGCTGCTATGATTTTATCTGGTTTATGAGCTCGTTGCTGTCCTAATCTAGGATCTTCTTTTTAATAAATTCTTAAAATGTTAAAAAATATAGAGAGAGAGAGAAAAAGGGGGCCCGTGCTGGTTCTCGACGTTCCTGATTGCATTTATATAATAAAATTTGTATATGTATTGAAAAACATCCCGCCTACCTACCCTATTTTTGAAGATAAAAAAAAGGCCTATCTACCTACCCTATTTTTTCAGCATGTAATAGGAAACAAAGTAGTTTTTTTTCCAGGCCTTATCCATTATCTACCATCTACGACAATGATGCAAAAGAATAAGGGCGCTAGTGTGGAGAAATGATCTACATTGCATCTAAATCCCATGTGGGGTAGAATGGCCTCACAGAGGGAGGGGGGACTGCGTTTACCTGTAAGCCACTCATCTAAAGTAATAGCAGGTTGTGTTGAAATCAACCAAGTTAAATTCCTTGAAATAACTACTTTGTAATTATAAAATATTCAAGGTGGAAAATGTTTAACTTAGACCAAAGTTGTTCAAAAACTAAAAATTGAAGTCGCGCTCGTCCACCAGAGTGTTTATGCACGGTGTCACATGAATAATAGTTACATATAAATCACTCTAGATGTCAACACGTCACAACTGATGAAATGCAGAAGTGGCCGTTTTACCGAAAGTCTCCATCTTATCAGATTTTCCCTTAAATTTCGTAATTTGTTTTGAATATTCGCGCAAAGCTATTTATCCTTAATTCTTAATTGATAGAAAAAAAAAAAGGAAGCAGCTGGCCAATAGCACCCACCGCCAACACTTGAGCGACTCTAATCGAATAATGGATTTTGAGCATCACTCTTACAGCACATATGTGACCTAAAAGTGCCAAGCAAGTTTTTGTGGCAACCTGACGCAAACCATAAATGCTCGGATTCACAGTCCAATACGCTAACCTCTAGGCTATCTCAGTTAAAAAATTACAGTTAATCATGTCAAAACAAAAAATGTTTCAATCAGTATCTCTTTCATTTAGATAACAATTATATTTACATAAATATTCTTTTTGGGTCAGGCTTGTCAACATTTGTAGAAAATTGACTTTTCGTTCGTATTACAAATTTAGATAATGGTTTTTAATTTTGCTTAAATGTGAACATAAACGCCGACTTCTACTTTTCCCACACTTCTATGTTTTTTTTTGCCCCTTTTTACAATTTATTGATTGAATCATTATATCATTTACTTAATATAATGCACTTTTAAAACTTGAAACTCGAAAACCAAAAGTGTTAATACTTTGATATCCAAACTTTCAGTGTGGTTTACTAGGTGTCACTCTGTTAATTGTACAAATATAAGTTATATCATATATATATATATGTATGCATGTATATATATATATATATATTATACACATCAATGGTTATGTTTTACATATAATTAGACGAAAAATACTATTTTATTATATTAAATTATATTCTGATTCTAACCAGACAAAATAAAACCCACGAGTAATTTTATCCTAATTTTAAACGATATACATCTCTCTAATTGAAGAAAAAATAGCAAATTACAAAATGGATTTCCCTTTTTTTTTCTCCCCTTCAGATTTTAAAGTTTTCATTTATATTACCAGGCGTCATTTCCGTGGTTTCTCTCTAACTCTGTAATAAAAATAATAAGTTTAAAAGTAATTTCTATTACTCGATGAATTAGCATATTTGTTTATTAATCTAACCCAAGTAAGTTATGCATACGTACCATTAGTCTCGAAATTTCTGTTGAAACGTTGTATTTTAAGTTAGCCCTACATTAATTTCGGAACTTATATTGAAATGCTTATTTATAAAATTAAGCGTACAAGCGAAAGTAGAAGTAGAAAACGTTTATTGAAGAAATAAATTAATTCGTTATTGTTACATGTATTTGATTTGATATTATTTTTATCAAATAATCTAAAAGAACCCGCCCAACAATAGAATACATTACAACAGCATAGGGAATAAACGTGGCAACTCTCACTCTGTTTGTTTGGAATTAAGCACAAAGCTACACAGTGGGTTATCTGTGCTCTGCCCACCACAGGTATCGAAACCAGGTTTCTAGCGTTGTAACTTCGCAGACATACCGCTGTGTCACTTGTGGGCCTCTCACTCTGACACTGAATAATATTTCTAACGTTGAACTGACTCACTCAATGATTACTCATTAATTTCTCACTGAACTGAAATACTTTCAGTGAATCACATAACTAACTCAATCTATACTCACTGATTGCTCAATTCTTCTTAACTAACTGCTCCACTAATTCTGGTTTTTATATCACACCTTTATTTCTACATATTACTAGAAGCATCTCGATTCTTAACTTCCTAGATCTTAATGTTAAGCGCCCTCTATCAAACATTGATAATACGGCTTATAACAATACGACTGGTTCGGCGATATTTGTATGTTGGGCTTTATGTTTAAGGCCTACACTATACGTAAACGGGGTTTCTTAGGTTAGGCCCGTACTCAGAATGTTTGAAAGGGGGTTCTAATCTGTGAGATCAAAAACAAACACATATTGTGCAAAGTACAATCAGCATCAAAGCACGCTAATGCTACGGGAGAAAAATTTGTAAAAAATGGGTGCTATGAGATTAAATCCAGAAGCAATTTTACATGAAATATTCCTTAAATAAAGTATGGCTGTTCACAAAAAATCCATAAACACCCAATGAAAAAGTCAACAAATCATCATTCTGTTGTACCACTGCATGGGGAGCTAGATTTAAATTAGCATGAATATGTATGTTTTATTAGAGTAAAGTACTGTACTATCTACATCTAATTTTTTTACATCACCAAAATAAGTGGTTCGGGCGAACCCTCCCTGCGTACGTGTAGGTAATAGGTGAGTAACGGCTGGAGACGGCTTGAATGGGTAATGACGAAGAACTTTAATATAAGTTTAACATAATAGCAAATGTACAACGTTTCGACAAGGTACCTGATGATGACAAAACCTTGTCGAAACGTTGTATCAGCAGATAAATATATATATATTATACACATCAATGGTTATGTTTAAATATATTAGAGAAAATATATTTAT